GACCGATTGGTAGGCAGGGGACGGTATAAAGCAGCCACCACAGACGAGACTCATACTGTGCCCGTTCGCTCTCGGGATGGTCGCGGCGCTCTTTGACGTTGCGTGTGATGACCGGGAAGAAGGAGAACCAAGCGATGAAGTAGCCAACCAAAATTGGGATGAAGGCCAGACCCTTCTCCCAGGTGTTGAAGCCCCACTGGCCGTACACAAGGGAGAGCGATTGGATGAACATGAAGATAAGGGCATCGCTGAAACCACTCAGCAGAGAAAGCACCAATACAATGGGCTCAGTCAGGAACATCTTGAAGGGACGAATCCAGGTAGCCAAAAGTTCACGGGGCGGGAAACGCTGGCGGAACGACACGCCCTCGGTAGGACCGTAAATGTTGGGGTTTTCGCCGGACTTGCGCATGTTCTTGGCAATCCGATCCATCATGACAGTAGTTCTGGTTTCCGGGACGAACAGGAAGTGGGCCACTTGGACGAAACCACCGAAGATCAACTGAATCCAGATATTCCACCGCCAAGGTAGGAACGCCTCGACGAAGCCACCCACCACTGGACCAAGCACAGACCCGCCAACGGATGAGAAGACGACGGCGGCCACGGCGTATTGTTGATCATCGGGTTCCCACAGATCAGCAATCATTCCCAGGGTAACCGAGCCACCAGCGGACGAGAGACCGCCGAGGGCACGACCGACCATGATGGAGGCGAAGTTGGGGGCCAGAGCCACGGGGAGCTGAAAGATGTTGACAAAGAAGAGAGATGCCTGGAGAATGGGCTTGCGACCCAGCTCCTCACTCCAGGGGGCCCAGAGTTCACAGCCAAAAGCATAAAGAACCAAGAAGATCATGGCACCACAACGGGCAGCTTGCATGGAGACACCGAACTCCTCTGAGATTCCGGTGGCGGCGTTCGAATAGAGCGATGTATTGAAGTTCATGGATGTCTGAACGAGGAAGATCACGGTGATGATGATCCACTTCTTTCTTTCAGTAAACGAGTATCCCAGTTTGTCGTAGCACATGTCCTCGGTGAGCTCGACAACCTCATCGGGTGTGGGCGAGGCCTCCTCGAGCTGATCGTCTTCCAACTTTTCCGTAGCGGCATTGACAACGGCTTGGGCGTGGGCAGCTTCTGCTGCCTGCACGGTGTCCCTCCCGTACTTGTCGGCGTTAATCGTCATTGTTGACTCTCACTTTGTGTAGAGATGGGGTAGTATAGGGTAAACTGGTATCAAGACCAGTTGATAGTAGAAGAAACCCCAGGAAATGAGACAAGAAAGTGTGGAGAAGTCTCAAGCAGTCTGGAGAAAGATCAATGGAGAGAGAGAGATAGAGAGTGAAGATCAAGAGGAAGAGGAAAAGGAGGAATTAAATACAGAAACGGGGAGAAAAAGGCAAGAGCCAAATGCAGGAAAGAACCAAAACGGTCCCCCGGGCTGGCCCTGTCAGTACATTTCCAGTACCGGGTTAGTACAAGGTCGGTACAAAAGTTTCCAGGTCGCATGTTCCGTGATTGTATACTTTTGTCTCAGTGGAATGAATCCTGGATTTATTACCAATGTACCTGAGGTACGGAGTACTTGGTACTGACTATACACACTCACGGGATGCCGATGTCCCCCGTGTACCCCACTTTATTTTCTCCAGACTTCGAATCTTCTCTCCAGACTCTCCAGATCCGTTTCCTTTTGCCTCTTTTCTCTGTCCCTCTTTTGCCTCTTTGGACGCTTTGTCGTCTACGGAATTGCCTCCAATATACAGCCCATGGGTGAAAAGGATTCGATGCTTTCTGGTACTTCCAGGGCTAATTAGCCGGAATAGGAACCCTCTCATTGGGGTAATCGGACCCACATTGGAGACAACTACGGTCATGTCCAGTCGACTTCCCCGTTTGCCGTTCTGGGCCGAGAGAATGTCCGCTTCGAGTCTGTCCAATATCTTCTTACATGCCACGTCAAATCTACATCAAAGTATACCGACGATCGGGATATCAAACCCCATGTGCCCCGCGAAGCAAGGAGCCGGGGTTATTGCCGACCGTGCCCGGCCGCATGGTTCTCCATATGCGACTGAAGTTCTGCGTGGTACGGAGTGGACTCGGGTACAAAGTCTATGAAAATGACAAAAGGGGCTGAAAAAAACAAAAAAACGCTGTGGGGAAGAGAAAAACGCCCATTGCTCCCACGAAACTCAACATGTTCCTTGTTAAAACAAGATATTGCCAAGTCGCCCATGACTTGCCTTGCCCATATGTGACGTCAGGTTGACCACAAGAGATCAGGTCATTCGTCAATCATATCCAGGACAGGCACTGCGGCTAAATGCACTAGAGTCACTGTGGTTCATATTACGGGCGTGGCGTTAGATCGTCATCAGGGCTTGGGAGCCATAACTCTTGTTCTGACCTGAGCACGCTTACCCTTCGCTTACATTGTAATCGGCTGAGTACGGAGGATTGAAATTTTTTTTTTTTCTTTGTCTGTCGGATTATCAAATCCTTCGATCTGCAAAGGAGGGAAAATGCTCTTCGGTCATCTTTCGGCTTTACGTTCCAGAATAACGAGTGGAAGGAGGCCAATTACGTACTTGTCAACCAGTCAACGAGTCAACCACAACCATAACCGCATTACCAGCAGATGGCCTGATCTCCCCCTTGCAGAATCGTTCACTCGGAGTACATTTCCCCATGATTACCGATACCCGCCATTGCCCACTGGGGTAAAAGCAAAAAGAAGGTTTTGCTAGTCACATTCAAGGGGGAATGTACGGAATGTACGTTGTCCGGAAACAACTACAGTCCATCCCACATCCCCCGGACCCGGACTCTCGTGCTTTTTGTCGATCGTATCTGGAGCGCCACGCGACACTGAAGATCTTTGCGGCGATCCCCGGATTTTGTTTTACATGTCGGTATAGAAGTATGACTTTTAGAAATTGTAAATTTGAGCGCCACATAGAGAAACCGGCGTGTTCCTCTCCTTGGCTTGCGCGCAACCAGGGGCCAAGATATGATTTGCTGTGCCGTGACCTTCGTACCCGTGGAAAGTCTGGCCTGGTCCATATTCCGGAAGAATCATATAAGCCCCGAGAGAAAGAATCCGAGTTGTACCATGTTCACTCGGGGTGTAAATACTGTCAGACTGGGTCTTGTAGAGACAGGCTGGAGCATTCTAGCCATTCAGCCTCAGGCGTCGGTTTCCATAAACGGCGTCCGTGTCACATGACCGACCCCGCGAAAGCGGTAGCTGAGTCAGCAGATCCTCACGGGATTGTCTGACGTTACTACAGATTAGAGCTTCGCATCATACATATTCCTCGACGTCAACGCAGTTACCAATCAAAGATGTCACCGGATCTGAATTCCCTTCCTCCATCCCGTTCCTCTTCAACCTCCTCCTCCATCCCGCAACGTAATATGGCCGCTCCTGGAACTGGTCCGGTGCCCGTGAACCCGAACACCTCCCGTGGCTCAAGCATAGGCCGACTATCGGTATCTGAACGTCGATCCACTGCCGGTATTAATTCGAACGTGAACGAGATGCTGGGTACTAGTCCAGGACCTAGCAGCGAGTTACCCGCGTTAGACCACCGTGACCATCGCAGCCCGATCGGACATGCATTCCGCACAGCCAGCCCGTCAAGTCCCATCTTCGCGACAGCAGATCCTCATCACCAGCGTGCACCATCGCTGGGGGAGCTACACCAAGAGCTGGAGCAAGAACAAGAAGCACAAGTGGTGGGTCAATCATCCCTTTCAGCCTTGTAGGAAGCTAACCGAGTAACTATGAAATGTAGAACCGGCTTCTTCTGATGATCCGCAGCCAGCAGGCCCAATTGCATCAATACCAGCAGCAACATAACCCACAATCCACCGCTGCAATCGACGACACAACTCCGGCATCGGAACGATCGGCCTTCTTCCCACCCGGCCCGACACCTCCTGTCGGCAACAGATTATCGATCTCTTCTTCATCAAACCGCCGAAGCTCGCGGCCTCCCAGTCAAGCGGCGTCACCTAACTTGCGACCGCTAGACTCGCGCGGAGAAAGCGTGGAGCCATTTCCGGGGTTGCGGGATAGTGCATCTCGGCGCGGTAGCCGGGACGAGAGTGCATTTTACCAAGCCGAAGCGAGCTCTCTAGCCCGAGAAAACGTGCTCCTTCGGCAACGCATCCGGGAACTAGGTAAGAGAATTCCGGTTTAGCGTTTTTTTTTCTTGAGCCCACAGTAATTCGGAGTAACCCCACCCCGAGAGTGGATCTTATTTAAGCGCGTACTCCATACATATACTAATTTTCTCCACAGAGAGGCAAATCGGTGGCCTGACGACTTCCCACGGTGCGTCCTCCGCCTCCGCAACAACTCCTTCGGGGTTTGCGTCGGGGCAAGCGGGGACCGAAACCACGGACCCGCCTGCCGTGAGTACAACGCGAGACGGTAAAGACTGAAAAGCGCATTCATCACGAGTCGTAGCTCGTTGACCCGCACAGGGGTGATATGATTGATACAGGCGAGAACCCGGACATCAGCCTAATTGTTCAATACTCTATGCAATACCACAGAATAACCACAGGCAATCCTCCCGCAAGCAACCGGTTTCGATTTTTCAGTCTTGGCGCCTAGATTTTCATGAGGGTCAGTATATCCCATCTTTCGAGGACGGTTCCCATTTCTTTCGTGGCGATGTGACTCTATGCGCTTGTCAAGGTTGCAGTTCTGACAGTGTTTTGTATGAAGTTCATGGCCTGTTGCTGTCGCTAGCAAAACTTCCCATTGGAAGTGGCGAGGTCTATGGGAAACCTGAAATTAATGTAGAAATCCATGACAATACATGTCGACTTCATTCGTTGCGTTATACGTAAATACTCAGAAGTTGAACTGCGTCAACGCAATAAACGACTTCAATTATTCAAGGTAATCCCTTGCACAAGACCTAATTGGCATTTCTATCCGAGTCTAAGAATAACAGTCTCACTCGAATAGCGACCCATCCTTACTTCCACGTAGTCCAGCCCAAGAACGAAACAAGCTGCTTGAAACTCTCCACAGTCTCATCCAAATCCTTCCCATCCAACAGCCCGGATGCCAAAGTAGCACAGACCTCCCGAGAAATGGAAGACACAACCTGGCCAGCAAGAGACTCAGCAGGAGCAGGAGCAGAAGCAGGAATAAACTCATTCCGACACAACCCAACAATATCCTCCCGGGCCCCAAAGTCCCTATAATCAATGAAAGGCTCCAACACATCCTCAATCCTCGCCCGAAGAACATCAACCGACGAGAAATTGCCAGCTGCCAGAGTCCGCAGTTCATCCGAGTACCGGAAAACAATCATATCAGCAACAGCCTGCCAATCAAAGGGATAGTCAACCGGCCGAAGAGTGTTAACCATCTCATTGATGTCCGATCGAACAGGCTCAAACTCCTCACTGGGAATATGATCCAGCAACGGAATTTTCGAATCCCCAGGGAAAAGATCAAGGTCGTATCCATACGCCGTGACGAAGTGATCGAAGTCCAGACGGACTTTCTGCCCAAGTAACCGGTCATACCGCGCATCGATCGAGCAACAATCACCACCCTGTGGCCGCCCACGAGGGCCACCGGGGCCACCAGGGCCATGAGGACCACCGGGACCCTTCCTCCCACCCTTCCTCCCCCCTTCCGCCACCAGGACCACCAGGACCACCAGGACCACCAGGACCACCGGGGCCACCACCACCAACCTGCGGCTTCGTCTGCGTAATAGCCACAACCTCAAGATCGCGCTCAAACGAACAAAGAATAATCTCAAAATCGCCCTCGGTACGAGCAATACCATCAACCCTCTCCCCCCAAACCTCCTTCACCATCCGACAAGTCTGGAACGCGCGCTCCTTCTCCTCCGGCGGACCACCGACAGGCGGACGCGGGCCGGGCGTCGGATGGGAAATGGTATCGTTGAAGAGGATGCGGTCCTGGGACTCGAGGGCGCCGCCTGGACCGGCGGACATGCCGTCTATGTAGAGGAGACGGAGGTCTTTTGCGGCGGCGTAGGTGTGGAGGTAGCCCGCGTTGACGGGGTCTGTGTCTTCGTTTGTGTTTTTGTTTCCGTGCGGATGGACAGGGGGATTCCTAAGAGGAGCTTGATCTTGATCTTGACCTTGACTTCTATCTTCGTTTCGATGGTCATGCTCGTCATTCTTGTGCATGAATCCCTTCTGTCCGTGTGTACGATGCGCGAAACCAAGCGAATGCTCCGGTTTAAAGGCTAACCATTCCACGCCGACGATAGGGTCTGGCGTCCCGGTGCCGTGGTAGAAGCGTGTTCCCTTTTCGACGGTGGCTATGAAGAAGGACATGCCGTTTGGGTAGATGGATGATTCATAGTGGCGGAGGGTTGACTGGATTGAGTTGAAGATGTAGTTTGCGTTGGCTGTTGTGTTGGTATTATTGAGGGTGAATGCTTGCGATGGGGAACAGAGGGTTAGGGATAGGGACAGGGCCCAGAGGCGTTTCTCTGTGTACCGCATTGTTCAATGGGTATGTATGTACGGAGTACATGTATCTCTGTTGAGGAGAGCAAGACTGAGGGATGGGATTGAGGTGGGCGTTGGTTTTGATAGTAGAGACGCCATGGACGCGTAACGGTGCTATAGCGTCGGGCCGTGGTCGTATCACCGACATTATTTCTGACTCTTTTGGGCTAGAAACGACGAAAAACGACTGATTCATAGAGTGGTGCTGCAATGATTGGAGAGGAATGTCGTGGTGGAGTCGTAGACGGCTTTAATTCCCCGATGTGGGTGGCTCCTGCGAAGCTCTCGGAGTTGCGTGGACTTTGATCTTTGAGGGTATTCGGAATGTCTTGAAATATAGAACTGGGTTGAGATATGACTTTGGAAATATTATCGTACAGCACTAAGTTGGGGTTTCATTTGTCTAAACGAACTAATGCTAGCTGAAACCCCGGGAAAGAAATACTATCGTACTTTGATAGACTCTGGAATAGAAAAATGGTTACGAAGAATAAATATATCAATTCAAAGAAAAAGAAAAAGGTGTGTACAATAACAAATGTAAATACTCCGTACAGACATTCCAAGTTGAAATATATATTCATCTATCAGGCGCTGGAGTAAGGAAACATAAATCCAAAAGCACCAAAAGTAATAAAAACCGGGTATATGCAAGACACACCTACAGCTTCGGCTTCTCAGGCTGGGCAGCCAAGTCGGGCATGAGCAGGTCACGAAGCTCAGTGGCAGCTTCACTAAGGTAGTGGCTCATGCGGTCGGCGCCAAGACGCTTGCAGACGATGTTGAAGTTGAGGCTGGAAAGATTAGTTAGATAAGCATATATAGGGTCGGGGCTAGTGCTTACCTGTTCTCGTTGATCATGTAGGCAATTCCGAAACCATCGTCAATAACCTGGCTCCATCCGTATCCGTTGAAGTATTCGGAGCTCAGCTGGGAGGTGGAGAGGTACCAAGAGGAAGAGTAGGTGTATGCGGGATCCTGGTAGATCTCGGGCAGCTTCTCGCCGGGCTGGAGAAGCTTCTTCAGACCGAATAGGTGACGGTCGACACCGTGGCCGGCGCTAGCCTCCTGGGTGTACTTGGTGTGCTGGGCGAGGGCAGCGCGGAAGAGCTTGACGATCTCCTCGCGAGGGGTGGTGCTGTCCTCGTGAGCCTTGCAGAAGGCGACGCTCTCGTCGGAGACGGTGCGGGTGGTCTCTGTGCGGCCTTCGGCGAACTTGCGGGTGGAGGCGGACTCGTAGGTGGGACGGTTCTTGCCGTACATCTTGAAGTAGGCCAGCTGGATGGTCATCTGGACGAAGGCATCGGGGCTGCACTTGAACTTCTTGATCAGACCCTTGCCGTAGCCCTGGTAGGCCTGGACGACCAGCTCGTGGGAGCCGATCTGCTTGCGGTGGTATTGGGTTGCGAAGTCGATAGCCTCGTTGGCGGCGTCGTCCAGCTTGAACTCGATGGGCTTGGGGTCGGCAAGCTGCGAGCGCACGGTCTTGGCGGAAAGGTCGATCTTCTTGTTGAAGATGACGTTGTTGACGTAATCGTTCAAGCGGTGGGTGGGAGTGCCGTCCATCATGCTGTGCTCACCCATGAAACCAGCGGTGCCATTGTCGTTGATAATGAACTGCAGAGGCTTGTCGAACCAGCGGTTGGAGCCATCACCGTGCCAGTACTGCGAGCAGCGCTCAGTCAGAGTGACAGGGCGCGCATCATCCAAACAGACCACGAAGCCAGCAGACTCAATATCCTGCAAGGCCAGCTCATTGGCAGGGTCAAGAGCAACGAGGGTCTTACGAGCAGCGGTCCAGTGATCACGGTCCGCAACAGTCAGCACGCCAACAGGGGGCGCGGGCTGTGCGGTATCGTAGATGCGCTGGAACTGTTTCTCCAACTCAGAGACGTTGAGCTGTTGACCGTCTATAACGACCGGGAGCTTGAAATACTGGTTCTTGCGCACCACGACGATGTGCTGGTTCTCGGAAGCAGGATACTTGCGAGCGAAATCCGCGCCCTCGGAGGGGATACGGCAGCAGTTGAACATGTACTGGTACGAGCTCATGGCCTGAGGCTCCTTGCGGAGGTACTCGGGCTCCAGAGAGCCATCATCGACCTGCGACTTGAACTCGAGCGCGGCAGTGGTGATGGCAGCGGCGCGCTTGGCTGGGTTGCGACGCTGGCGGTCGTCCCGGTAGGAGTAGAAGTAGGAGACGTAAGGGATGACGGGGTCGCGGTAAGCGAGGTAGGCGGCCTGGTTCCACCATTCGGAGAGCCAGTTCTTGATCTTCGGGTCGGCGGCACGAGCCAAAAGACGCTTCTGCAGAGACTCACCCTGACCACCGGGGCGGACGAATTCCTCCACGGCGTGCTTGGTGCGCTCATACTCGGACTCGGAGACGACAGCGTGGACGGACTTGAGGTATCGACGGCTGGTCTCTTCTAGGGAGGGAACGGGGAGTCTGGGGAGGGAGTCTTCGAAACGAAGCATCTTGCCCTTGGAGAGGTCCTCCTTGTATCCTGCTCTTCTGTCAGCGTTGAATCTGGTGTGCCCACGTCGCGCCGGACGTCTGTGTCACTAACCCTCAGGGACGGAAGATGCTGCTCGTCGGGGAGCCATTTTGAGAGTCTATATGCGTGTCAATGGATTGATCCCGGGCGATTTCACTGCATTCCGCAGCATTCCACAGCATATGTAACCGACTTACCGAGCGGGCGAGCAGAGTGTTCGGAACGCGTTGCCTTGACAGGTTAGAAAGACGGCTTCGAGCAGAAGCAGTGAACATCCCTCTGGTTGACTGAAAGGTTCGTTTGGGGGTATTCGGAGGAGTGGACGTCCAGGTGAAGCTTAAAGGGAGAATAGAAAGAATGGCCGAATGACGCTTAAAAGTAGAAACCTCGGCTGGCGGGGAAGCCGGTAAAACGCGGTACGGGGACTGGGGAAATACATGACCTCAGTCCCGATCGACTTGGATTTCTTTGCCACGGGGAACGAGGAGAAGGTGAAGAGGTGAATTGTGAATTGAAGATCTGGATAATTGGTTTCTTGATGTCTTTTATCTTCAATTTTGGTACTTATTATCGTGTTGACTATGAACTTGTATATGTATCTGAACCTGGGGCAAAGGATATAGTACGGTAATACCAATACCTGATCCACCCACGAGCCTCGGTCCATTTCCCCAGTTACAGTCACAAGGGAGAGCTGGGGCACTGGAGAAATATGTAGAATGTGAAGGACATTATTATAGTGTTGAATGGGGGTGACTGTATAAAATATAGTTATACATATAAAACATACACAAAATATAAAAAGCCCGACTTCAATACTCCGGTTCTCCGGGAGATCCCCTCTAATGCGGGGAGAGCTTTTAGCGTAAAGGTACGGAATACGATATATGGAGTATATGACAGGCGCAATGCAGTAAGAAAAGAAATAAAGCGCTAGATTATGTATAGATGGGAAGAATAAATCAAAGAAACCCCCTTTCATCCGATCCCGTTGACCCGGCCAATAAAACAAAACAAATTCGAAGAGGAAAATGACAAGAAAAATAGCCAACACCTTGGAATACCCAGAACACCGACTAGGCTCCACGGGGAAAAGGAAATAAAAAGTCAAAAGTCATTCAGCCAATACGTGGTGCGCAATTAGGAGACGGGCTGCACAGCTGCCGGTTGATCCTGGCCATCGATGGCGCGAGGTACCTGCACCCCGGTACGACGTAGCTCATCCATTTTAGCCATGGCAGGCCCGGTGCAGATGCGACCGGTCTGCATAAGCGTGCGGAGACGTTTCCGACGGGCCTCGCCGCTGCGCTCTTCGCCACGAGCAACGCCCTCGTCCACCCAGTCCACGGCGTGAATCTTGAAGCTCATGCCATCATGACGACCGTCCCATTTGCGGGACTTCAGCCCGAACATGAGAGTGCTATCGTACTGGGCTAGGCGGGGAAGAATCAGTAGGGTTATGTGCAGGTCCTTGTCGGTTGGAGGTATCGGTGGTAGACGTGGGCCCTTGGCCGGAACGTCGCCGTCAGGAGTGGCTTCGGGTGGCGGTGCGTGCTGGTAGGTATCTCTAATCTCGAGATCAAGCATTGACTCGTCCACGTCGTCGCCCCACGCACCGCGAATGAAGCCGGAGTGGATGGCAGCGGCGACAGGGTCGGAGTCGTCTGTATAAATACCAGTCCCCCAGAGCGCGCGCCGGGCGCAGATTTCCTCTCGGTGAGATTGATTGATTCGGAAACGGGGGACTCGAACGGTAAATGTGCAATTCTCTCGCTGTTCGAAGCGGGGAAGGGGCTGGGGGGTTGTTGTATATCCAAACTTGGAGCTATCTAAAGACGACTTGGCAGTGGGAGTACTGATGCGTGGCGTGTATAGCGTTGAGCCAAGGTGGTGTCGAGGAAGATGGGCCACACTCGAAAGCAACGGCTCCAGGTTCACGGTAGTACGAGGCTCACGGATAGGAGATGTAACCGGAATAGTGAGTCGAGGAACATGATGGTGATGATAGTGGTAATGTGGGTGGTGATGGTGTGCGGCAGGAGACTCCACTGGGGATGTTCGATGGAAGAAGCTAGAACGTTGAAGGGAGCTCAGGGTAGCCGCCTCTTCGTCTGCCTTGTGGCGATGGTGGTGGTGACTAGAGGAATATTAGCATATGACAGCTGTATTGATTGGGTAGAACATACTGATGGTGATGGTGGTGGGAATGCCGAGAACGACGGGCGTTACGTGCTGATAGTACGCCTCGGGCATCATTCGACTCAATTTCCATCTGCTCCTCGTCGCGTGACTTTTTCGACCGTCTGCCGGCTGCAGAGGATGGTCGAGCAAGCTTGGACGCCTCATCCATCCCTTCTCCATTCATTGAGCGGCCTGTGAGGCTATCGCGCTTGAAAGGACTAGAGCCTAATGGTGTCGATGGCCCGCTGCCACTAGTAGTCGCGGTGACGCCACCCACGCCGCTGCCAATACCGGAGAAGACTCGACCTAATTCAT